TATATATATATATTATTAATACCTTATTAGTTTAGTACCTATGTGATAAAAAGTAATTTGTGATGTATGCGTTGGTCTGAAAAGGGAACATCGGCGACCTTGTGTGTACAAAGATTATAAGTAAACCTATCTGCATTAATATAAACTATAACTATATACAAGTGGGTAAAATTACGAAATAGGTATTAAAAATGTTCTAATTTCGGCTAGTAACAATAAGAATAAATTTATTCGTAATAATTCGTAGGCGTAAAAGTTTAATTTACTAGTTTTTTAATTTTTTTTTTTTTTATTTAATTTACTATTGTCGGGAACAATAGCAATACAATTAAGTGGTAATACATGATATTGTATTGCTTTACCCATTTCATTAGAAATTATAACTAGTTTATTAAATTATTATTGTAAATAAATAATATCCCATAGTTAATTTGATGAATTTTAATAATATAGTAAATTAAATAATTATAATATAGTTAATTAAATTATACAAAATTGACGCCGTCTGGTTTTTGCGTAAATTTTTTGATTTCATTGCTGGTATATTTGACGTCCCGTGTTAATTATCCTAGCGGTGCCCATAAGTGTTTACAACTATTTGATGACTATGCCGGAGTACTGAAAACTGGAAAATCTGTTATCAGAAGGTGAAAAAATTAAAAGCAAAAAAAAAATGAAATATATAATAACAGTAACTGGCACGGTAATGTAATAACTGGGTTCATTCGCCCGGCGGAAGACACACTCGACACATATCTACGCACGAGGAAATCCGATGCCGGCAAGTAGCCGTCTCCGGCATCTACCGCAACGACGTCGGTGCGCGTTAAATAATTATAATAATAATAATAATAATAATAATAATAATAATAATCGATACGCGCACAGTTATTTCACGGTGTTTTGCGACGTTTGTGCATGGTTGTAGATTCGTCGACGTGCCAGGGATGGCTGGCGGTGGAGGGGGAACGTAAGGGACGGTAGGGCAAAGAGTGGCACGTAAATTCGTACAGGAAAGAGAGAGCCGATGAGAGAGGAGAGCGTTTCGGGTCGGATCGGTGGCAAAGGTGGATAGGAAAAGCTCGGCGGCCGCGGCGACGGCGTAGTGAAGCTTTCCGCGTGGGTGGTAGGTGTGGTCCCGCCGCTGTCTCCATCTTGTGCCAGGAAGGTTCCGGAAACGTCGGTTGGTTGCGCAGGTGGTCGATACCAACTTCCGGTTGGCCCTACCACCATTTCCATAACAAAAGCTTCCCGCTCCACCTCGATCCGCTCGGTGAGCCGCCGCGGCCGCCTCCGAAGTCGTCGTGCTTTGTGCCGTCTTACACTTTACCCCGTCTATCCCTGCTCGTGTATTCTCACGCGCCTAACGGATAACATTTGTTATTTTTACATAGGTACTCGTATGTATAGGTTCATCCTAAGCCGTTTGTCACCCCCACCACCACCTAACCTAAAACCACGTTCAGACACATTCACTGGGTTTTTATCGTCTACGGAGTTACATAACTGATCTTTTTGATTAATAAAATTAAAACTTTTTCGTCAACCGTGTTTATAAACGCACTCGTCACAATTAATATGTTAGCGATTAGTTACTGTGAAGTAATTTGTACACTATGTATCATTTACATTTTCAGTATCTTAACTATAATTTCAGTTTGAGGTTGAGTACAATTTTTGACAACTGACGGTCTAGTTAGAAAATATTTGTTTCAATGCTTGTGTGACCCGATTAATTTAATGCTTTTTAAAAGGTATATCGGCACATGCTCAATAATATCACAATTCTCTTAACTATGCTCCTTCATCATAAATCTTACAGTGCCCTATATTATATACAATGCCATAACACCAATTTACATAATAAGTGGTTTGTGTTTTAGAACTCCGAATCCATTTTATCATAGGTACATATATGTATATTATACTATAACAAAATAATATAACGCTTTACTATGTTCCATTTAAGTATTTGAATTGTTTGTTGCAATTTAAAACACGAATAATGACGACGTGATGTAAGCATACATCGATATTAAGTTGTGATACTGAGTTAGTTTTAATTATATTATCCTAAGGTTTATGGTCCATGAAAATCCTTTGTTATTGTTTCGTGAAATAAAATGATTAATAAATGTTTATAACATTTTGAAATTTGCATTCTACGTGTACTTTATACCCAAACCTTTAATCAAGTTTGAATCGTGCTTTTATGTGGTGTGTTTAATCTGGGAAATATTACTGAAAACTATTGAAAATTTAAAACTGTCAATTTGGAAATTATTTTTAAAACAATTACTTTTATACAAAATATGTTTTGTTTTGATAATTTGTACGTACATACCTATATACTATTTTATAGATATTTGTTCGGCAGAGCGTAAGAATATTGTAAAATAATTACAATCCCACCAATAATGTCAATGAGTAATGCACATTAAGAGTGTGTTATACTCTCCTTCCGACACGCTTGCGTCGAATACAATGCAAAGTTTTGCGGGGCTTTTTTTTTTATAGTTTCCGAGGGTAAAAGTATCAAGTAGTCGGGCTCATACATATTCATTGTTACTCGGTTCTAAACTACCCATTTTAATGTTCATGCTCAACAAACGGAGAAAATCTGAACAATATACGGTAATGTGGTTGTGCGTGTACAGTGGCTCATGTCTTCAGTTTTTCCTTCGTTTCCGGTCTTGCTTTGCATCGTCATTGTTCCACGGTGGCGTTTGAAATTATTCTTGAGAATAACCCTCTTACGTTTATTCAAAATAACACTTGCACACACACAGTCATATATAATAATGTATTCAATTCAGGAGTGTATATGGTTCGCACTATCTTGACTGACTGGTGCTGGAATATTATCTTTAAACTCAAACAGCAGTAAGATTTTATTGAAATTCTACTGTCTATAGCTTCGGGAAGTTTAAAAATAAACAATACGTTTTTTTTTTCTTAAAACCGTTCTGTTTTTGTAGAAAGATACTTTCAAAGAGAGATATATAACAAATAATTTAAACAACAATTTAAAAACACAGTATAATAATGGTTTTATTTTGTTCTCCAATATGAAGTTGTATTTACAATATGTGTACCGGATAACGACAAATGATCATTATATTATTTTATGACTCTATTATTTTAATAACTTTATAGTATACGTATATAGTAATAGCATATATATATATATATATATATATATATATATATATAGGACTAGTTTTGATGCCTTCTATAGGATATATTATATAAGGCCTGTACAGAGATTAACATTACATTTATATAAATTAAACTACGAACTAATAATACTCTTAAATTTATAAACAAAAATGTATAATTATATTGCACTTTTTTTAACTTTAGCATAGAGCTAAGTATTTTTAGTTTCTTAATATATTATTATTTTATCATACAATTAAAATGTAAAACTTGTTTATCAATAATCTAGCTATGTTAGATTGTCATAACTTATAAAAGTATCTAACAAAACCAATGTTTGTACACTTGTACGGACACTGTGGCTTAAATTATATTATTTAATAATTGTTAATTGTTAACATTATTATTAAAAATTAACATTATTCTTAATGTTTATTAATACATAAAATATTATATGGTATACCTTAAAGAATTTTGTTTAAGAAGAAACGAGATCGGAATTGCCAATATTGATCACATAATGACTAGAATAGGTTTATTAAACATTTCAAACAATATTGATACATTATTTTAATAGTGTAGCGTTAAAATTAAAAATCAATAGAATATTGACATTTGTACTTGTAAATGCTACTGGAATTATTATTTTGGCGTTTAAATATATGAAATAAAAACTGAATCACTTGGTATAAACTTAATTGAATTTTCAATCAATATAATTTTTCATTTTTTCTTTTTGTGAAACATATATTGTTTAATATAATAGATGTGAAGCCAAAATACATTTTGTAATAGTCATTTTGATGAAAAAGGTGGAAATTGTTTGTATTCACATAAAATTTAAAATATTGTTCTAAAGTTGTAGGTTTAAAGGTGTAGTGATTCTTGCGTCAGTTATACATGTACCCAATACAAGTGGCTTCATTTCTATAATACTGCTTAGAACCGCAGAATGGGTAGATAAATTGGTACTTATGTAAAATTATCACAGATTGTGTGATTAATTGTGACTATTTGTTAGTATTGTACCAAAATAGAAATTGGTTTGTTGATAGGCTATAGTATACTTTATATGAGAGTTAAGAAATTTTGAGTATACGTTTTTGTGTGCTGTACAGTGAAAATGGGTTGATTGTCGTAAGCTCATAAACTGAGTATACATTTTCGTGTTCGTATTTATTTTTATTTTTTATTTTATAATAATCTAAAACTAATCAACACTTATAGTTGCACAAACGAAGGTTTGTTATTTTTTTTTACAATTAAAATTATTTCACAAAACAACAAAAATGTACTTATGTATTATACCGGAATATTAACGGCCTGTAATTTCTGCGTGGGTACCAGACAAATCGAGTTATTATTATGTCCATCATCTGTTTGTACTATGAACGATTCCAAATAGAATTCTTGTTTTAGCCTTTATCATGTTGAGTAGAATAAAATGTCATAAAAATTAAATACAATTACACACGTAAATACACACATTTATACATATATATGTATATGGATATCATAGTAGTACTGCTGTACTGTAGTAGTAGTAGTAGTAGTAGTAGTAGTAGTAGTAGTAGTAGTAGT